AGCAGAAAATCCAAAGGGACTGGATACTTTGATTGAATCTATCAGACGAGAAAGAACACAAAACTTCCTGTTAGAAAAGATAACTGATGTAGTGTTGAAAGTCAAAAACGAAAAGCTTGAAGCTATTAAAGGTAACAACTTTTTAATAATGTTGTGTAAGACATAGGTTTTATTTTGAGGGTCTGCAAAATTAAAATCCAAAACAAAAGTCTTCCTCTGGTATTTGGAACAACATGTTTGGAAATATCTCCAGTTTGCATTTGAGATCCTAGTGTGTGTATCCTGGTTTTACCTTTTTACTATCTGAACACATCCACCATAAATAACAAGTAGCAAAAAAACCCCTATTGTGTTATTATGATGGATAAAGCTGTCTTCGTATTTCAGTTTTGCTTTTCAAAAATGGGTGGTTATCTTCCATCTTTCATTTCTCTTCAAGGTATTTGCTGCAGTGGCAGGATGCTCTGGTTTAGTTAAACTTTGTGCCTCAGCAGAAAATATACTAGCAAATGCAGCTTGAGGGAGTTCCCCTGTATGCCTTCAATGCCACAGCTTAGAAGTAGACCATGTAAATACATGTGGGTGTTCTTCCATACAGGCTTAGAGGTTTTGTTGACACCCAGACCTTGAAGTGACTGTGTGTACTCATATTTTAAGGCAGAGAAAAATGTATAGGCTTTCTACACCAGAAGTGTTATTTCCCCTCCACGCCCATCAAAAGGCAAATAAGGAAGAAATATGTTTTAACCATAGCGATGAACGGCCTGAGGTTTGCTCTGGCTTCAGGTAAAATAACCTTGAAATGCTGTCCACTTTGGAGCAGAACCATCAGGTGAAACTCTTAAAAGTTTGAAGAACACAGTGAGAAAAATCTAAAAGAAGTTGGGCCAAAGGGCTAAAGTGACTTACTAAAATGAACTTGAAGTTACAGTGCATCCTTGTCAAGTCCTAACTGGTACTGAGTACAGAGAAACCATTCACGTCAGCCTAGATAACCTGCATGTTGGTTTTTTAATTTGTCGGGAATTCTGGGTGTCACAGGTGAGATGAAGGGTGAGTCTGTTAAAAATACAGACAATTGATTTTTGACAGTCTTACCGATACTAAATCAGAGCACAGTTTAAAATGTCCCCATACTGTAATTAAATCCAGTATCTGTTTTTTTTGTCATAGGTTTAAGCTGCAGCACCTGTATGACCTCACTGTATGGAGGAACAAATAATCTTTCTAGATCATTTTCTGATGAATCAAATTTTCTGGATAAAACAAAAGACAAAGAATCTACCCAGATATATCACCCAGAAGAAGATTATAGCACTGCTGCGTTTGTGTCTGCTGTCTCTCTTCAGTCAATGAATTTACCAATTGCAGAGATGGGAAATGCACAGTGCAGTGTTTTCTCAGCCACCCTCCCAGGGCCTGGAGACCCTGGTGCACCCCCACTGCCCCCAGAGCTCCAGTCAGACCAGCAAGAGCCATGTACTAGTTCAAGTGACAATTGCTTTTTGCCTTTAAGATCACGTTCTGTTCAACCACAGTGAACGCGGTGACTTTTAGCTGTTCATCCAAATGGTTCTGAAACCTTATGGGATGTCTCATAAAGGCTAAAAAATGTTTTCAAACTCTTAGAAAAATTGGAGGAAATAATCTATGCAATTTCTGTTTTAATTTTGCAATTGTGTGATGCTGGATGTGCTTGACTTTTTTTGTTTTGTTCTTTAGGGAACTTTTTTCAAAGTATTGTGGTGTTATACCAACAAATGTTTGTTTTTTAAACCAATGTGTATAAGATTTCACATTTAGTTGCAGATACTTTAGCTGGAATTATAGAACAAATGGGGTTTTTTTTCTGCAGAAACTAACAAATCAGTTTTTATTAATGTTTCTGTGATGGGTGAACTGGGAAAGATGGTTAGGAAAAGTACTGAGTATGGAAAAAAATCTGAACTCAAAACTTAAGCTTACTTACCAAAAAGCTTAAACTCATTTACCAAGTTAAATGTTTCTCACTAGGATAAATTCTGCTCTCCATGTGTATGTGTGCTGCTCCATTTGCAAAAAGCTCACAAATCTGGCCAAATCTGTGCTTATTAGCAAGGAGTTTCTTCCTTGTGTGAACCTTGTCCTACTGTTACATCAAAAGGCATCAGTATCGCAAATATACTTCTGCAGGCCTCAGTCTATTCTTCTTGTATATTAGTTAAAGATTCCTGATTTGAGATGCACTTTAAATATAAATTCTCTTTAGTACTGGAAGAGGAATGTAAACTGCTCTAATGGCATTGTGAGGGCTGTAAGAAAACATTTTTGTAGGATGCTATTAAGGAATAAAGCTTGTATGCTTTGCCCACTAGGGAAGTGCAGGAGAAGTTGTGTGACACAAACGTGTACCTGAAGGACTCTTGGAAATATGGCACTTCAAATACCTCCTCTTCAAAGCAGACAGGTTTACATTTCAAATTGTTTAGAGTCAAATGCATTTTAAACTGTTTCAACATGGGAAGGTTCTCATTTCTTGCCATCATGTAACATACTGTATTCCTCTCATACTCGAATTATGGCCTACCTTTTGTGCACATGCCTATAACAATTTCAAAATGACATGATGGATTCTTAATTTGACATGTACAGCTGTGTTCTGCAGTACTACACTTTACAGTGATGGGATGTTTTCACTATATCAAAGGGCAGGTTTGTATTTAAGGCCCTAAATTATTTTGGCTCTCATACCATGTATAGCCATGTAATGCCACAGCATTGCATACCCAAGTAATGTTACTAAACTGTTCTCCTTTTGTACAGACAGGCCACCTGCAGGACCTCAGTATAGTCTCTATAAATTGTTTTTTACTATTACTCTGGTTTTGGAAGTAGATTAAAATAAAATGCAGCGTTCAGCTACACTCCATCCCGAGTCTATGAACATCTTATATGTGAGAAAGATGTGTTTATAAAAACCCTTGTTTGTCTAGAAAGTGAAAGTGCTTTTCAGTGGAACTGTTTTGATTAGATGGCACTCTGGAAATAAAGCACCTAAATATGCAAGCCACACTTTGTTCTTTAGCATGAAATTAAGGATAGGATGAGCTTCCTCTCTTCCATTGACTTGAATTGTAGTTGGAACGTCTAGAAAGTGATTTGTCTAAATGCCCACTGTAACCACTTAAAGAGCTGTGCTTAGGCTTGAGTCCCTTCCTGGGATATTGTAAAGAGAAGGGAATGAACAGGGTTGGCCTTAACAGAGAAAATGCACCAGCTCAGGGTGGAGGCTGCCTTGCTGCTCCCCATCCTGCCCCGTGTAGTGTGCAGCCTGCAGGGACCACTCCCAGCAGAGCCTACGAACCTGAGACCTTGAGTGAATGTATTGTCTTTTCAAATGTCAATAATGTGCATTTTTAAATCGTATTTTTATCATAACTTTTGGAATAAATTCTTTTGTATAATTGCCTGTTTTTCTGCCTGCCTCTTTCATTTTTAAGATGTACAGGTTGCAAGAGCAGCTCATGCCATTACCTTGATGTGTGGTTTTGGTTTTGTGTGCATGGGAGGCTTTTGTTCTTGTCTTTTTAGAGAAGTTTGTCTTTGGTGGAAAGGCTGACTTAATGAGAAACGCCTGTGCTGGTAGGACTGCACTCAAGAGCAGTCTGTAAGGAAAACATGCATATGAAATCAACAGCTCTGCTGCTTAAGTAGTTTCTGCAGTTCGTGACTACTATTACTAACCTGATTCTTAAGTTTTTTTCAAATTACTCTATAGCTCAACTTCCTACGGATGTAAGAAAAGTTGCTTCCAGCCACACTTATCTTGATTTCATTCTTAAATTAAGATATTTATTAATAGCAGGGGAGAATCAAAAACTTTGAGTGCTGAGAAGCATGACTCAGAAAAGGATTTGCAAATGCTGCAGGCACTGTGGTGTCTCACTTCAGTGGTTGATTTCATTGTACTTTGTGAATAGGGCTTACTTCAAAATAATGACATGGTATTGATTATGAGAGATGAGGGGAATATGGTTTAGTATCTTTACAGTAAAGGAAGTGATCATAGTGTAACCAAAACCCCTTCCTCAGATCTTATCCTGCCTCTGGTAGTATAAGTGATCTGAACATAGAATCATAAAATATGCCGAGTTGGAAGGGACATGAAGACACCCGAGTCCAATTCCCAGCCCTGCACACGACATCCCCAAGAGTCACTCACACCTGAGAGTTGTCCAAGCCCATCCTGAGCTCTGCCAGGCCGGTGCTCTGGCGGCCTGGGGAGCTGCTCCGGTGCCCAGCCACCCCATGGGTGAAAAAGCTTTTCCTGATACCGAGCCCCAACCTGCCCTGACTCAGCTTCACCAGCATTTTAGCTGAAGCACTATGTATGTATGGGTCAATCACAAGGGAGGTCTAGTACAAACTTGGTCCAACAAATTTGAAAAATCTCTTTTGGCAAAGATACCTCCTGGAGAAGCGATGATCAGCGCTGTGTCTGCCCTAGGTTAGCCGGTGATCAGGCATTAAGGAAAACATGTTTGCCCTCCACTTAGGCCTGCAGGTGTGAAAAGGGAGAAATGAAGGTAGGCTCGGTTTCGTGTGTGATTTCGGTGTCTGGTCACTCGGAGGGAAGCACCCCGGCTAGGCGTGAGCCCGCCGGCCCCGGCGGCGCCGCGTCCCCGCTCCATCAGCCCTGCTGCTCCGCCGGCCCCGCCGCCCCGCCGGCCCCGCTCCATCGGCCCCGCTGCCCCGCCGGCCCCGTTCCATCGGCCCCGCCGCCCCGCCGGCCCCGCTCCATCAGCCCCGCTGCCCCGCCGGCCCCGTTCCATCGGCCCCGCCGGCCCCGTTCCATCGGCCCCGCCGCCCCGCCGGCCCCGCTCTATCGGCCCCGCCGCCCCGCCGGCCCCGCTCTATCGGCCCCGTTCCATCGGCCCCGCTCCGCCGGCCCCGCCGCCCCGCCGGCCGGAACGCTCGGCGCGGGCGCGGTTTCCGCGGGCGGTGCGAGGCGCGGCCCCGCCATGGCGGCGCAGGGGGAGGACCCGCTGGGCTATTTCGCGGCCTACGGCAGCTCCAGCTCCGACTCAGAGCCCGAGGAGCCGCAGCCCGACGAGCGCCCGGCGGGAGCCGGCGCGGCCTCGGCGGGCACCCCGGGGCGGCCGCGGCTGCCGCCGCCCGACGAGCTGTTCCGCCGGGTGTCGCAGCCGCCCGCCTTCCTCTACAACCCTCTCAACAAGGAGATCGACTGGGAGAGCCGCGTCCTGCGGGCGCCCGAGGAGGTGCGTGGGGCGCGGGGTGAGCGCAGGCGGCGCCGGGGCCGCGGGGCCCCCGGGCCGCTGTGACGGGCGCTCTGCTCTCTCCCGCAGCCCCCCAGGGAGTTCAAGGCGTGGCGGAGCAACGCCGTGCCCCCGCCGGACACCTACAGCCCGCCCGAGCCGCCGCCGCCGCCGGCCGCCGCCCTCGACATGGCCATAAAGTGGTCCAACATCTACGAGGACAACGGCGCCGACGCGCCGCGCCAGGCCGGCAAGGCCAAGTTCCTGCCGGACGAGGAGCAGGAGCGGCTGGAGTCGGGTGAGGCCCTGGCGTGGGGCGGCTGTGCTGGCACGGGAGGCTGGGTGTGCTCCAGAGCCCTGGAATTCCCTTGGATTCCTCTGGCTGGGCGGCCCTGCGTGCCCGGGGCCCCGGGGAAGCTCTGCCGGCTGCTCCTGCCCCCACTGCGCCCAGGGGCTGAGCGCTCTGGCCGCAGGGGTGGGTGCATTGCCCTGCCGCTGGTTTGGCTTTCCTGGAATCAACACAGAGCTCGAGCTGTCTCTGCTCCTCTCCCCACTGACATTGGCAGGGAAGCATTAGAGTCTGTGGCACTGTAGCTCTATGAAACCAAAAGGTTCAGTCACGGCGCTGCTAAACAGAAGGGTGTGGGAGCTTCAGGTGCTGCTGTGTTGACCTTAGTTGTAGGTCAGATTATTTTTACAACATTTGGAAAACTTGGGTCCAAAAGAGGAACTAAATAGGATGTCCATGGGACAGATTACTGAAGAAAATACTTACTGTCCTCTTCACTGTCTATGATGGTACAAGCTGTAATGGTAATTTAGGAAGTAAAGAAATATTTGATAGGTGGGAGGAGTTTTTGGGTTTTTTTAATTGCTGGAGAAAGAGAACAGCCAGGAATAACCAAGAGAACAGAACCAGAAGAAATTCTGGGCTTTCAGAACACACAATAATGTTTTCATTCATTGGTAAAGTTGGCAACAAAGCTTTTCCAGAAGAAGGATTTGTTTTGCTGTCTTGCCTGTTTTTTTTGGTTCTGGGTGTTCTTTCCCAGTAGCAGTTTCTATGTCTTTTTCTGTGTTTTCTCTGTGTTACCCCAGCCATGCATTTCTCTTAGTAAGCTTTCATCCAAAGGAAGAAGATAAAAGGTTAATTGATCTTGACATTATTTCCTGCTTCAAAAATGTAATTTTCTAGCTTTTTCTATTAGCTAGTCAAATAATATTTTTGTTAGAACAGGTATACTGTACAGTAGCATAAAGCCTCTTTTTAGTTACCTGCAGTGGTTTGTGGTAGTAATAAGAAGTAACCATTCCTGTTTTGTCCACATAGTGTCTACATTCCAAAAATGAGGATGTTGTCAGTTAATGCTACAGTGCCTTTTTTCTAGCCATCTCAGATGTGATTAAGTCTGTTGTGTTAAGACAGGATGGTGTTTAAGACAAAAAATGACTTTGCTGACTTTGATTAACTCTTTCTTTTATTTAAAGATGATGAAAAAGACGATGAACCAGCTTCTGCTAAGAAACGTAAAGTAGAATCTGGAGAACAGGCAAAGAAGAAGAAGAAGGTATAAGCAGGGTGTTTTTGATTTAGACATAATGAGAATTTCAAGAAACTTGGATTCCTCTGCTGGAATGAGAAACCAATACGTGTTTACTGCATTTCTCTCTTGGGTAGGGAATTTTATTTCTGTAGTATGCTTGCCTTTTGGAAAGCACAAAAGTAAATGGACAGTGTTGTGGTAGAACTTGTTTACTGAACAAAATTTAAACCTGTTTATTAGAAACAAGGGTTTAGATGAAAGATCCATTGCCATGGATACTTGTGCTCATGCAGGTTACAGGGCTTTGCAGTATTTTGTTTATCAAGAAACCCGGTAACATGCATTTTTCTGGACTGACTTTTCCATTGTGTCAAAACCTTTTATAAAGGAGTATATACTAAAGATTTTTTAGGTACTGGTCTGTGATATGTTCACATAATGTTGTTTTTAAATATATGTATAGACTGCAAATAGTCACTGGAATAAAACTACATTTGAAAACCTCTGTGGTATAAATATTGCATTGCATGCTTGGTGAATAGGAGCAATGAATTCTGTATTATATGCCATTCATTGATGTGTGACTTAACAGATTCCTCAGGGCTTTTTTGTTTAAATAAATACATAAATACAAACTGAAAAAAAATGGACCTAAAATTTGGTTTAATATTTTATCATTATTTTGATGTTATGAGATCTTCATCAGTGAAACGTGAGACTAACTGATGGAGGGAGAATTGTAGCATGTAATGTGTTCTTCCTGAAACAGAAAATAGAATCAAGATATTTATGTGGACAAAAATTTTGACAAAGCTGTGATAGAGTCGTTGCTGCCAAATTGTATTTATTTCAGTACAAACAGTTGGTAGTCTTCTCAAAGTGCTAGCCAGTATATGTTGCATTTGTGGTATGCTGCTGAATGGGTTTTTGTGTCTGTATATGACAAGGTACCAGCTTGTACTGGATTGGAGAAAAGGTTAATGTATATTTTCAGATAAAATTCTGTGCCTTAGAAAATCTGCAGTGAGATTAGCACCTGCTAATAGGGGTTTATGTCATTAAATTTTTAATGTAAAAATGTGTGGTTTCTATTTTCCTTTTGTCTTGGACTAGCTTTACTTTGGAGAACAGATTCTGCATATATATGTGCTAATATGATGTTAATGTTTTTAAGTGATTTTAGGAGATTTTTTTTAACCTCAGTATATAGAAAAGTGAATTAATTTTCAGTAATATATGACACTGTTAAGAAGTTACACAGTTCTGGCCTTGGCAGTGTGATAATGTTTTCTCTGGACCCTTGTCTACCTGCAGACTGCAACTGCTCCTTGCCAGTTTCACAGGCTGTGGGGCCAAATCTGTGATACTTGACACAGCTGAGGGTTCCCTGTGCCCACCTTTGCTAGTGCAAACCCAGACATCAGGCACTGTCCTAGCAAGCTGCAGGATGAGGGATACTGTCATGGCAAACTCAAAATGCTCTGCCTGCATTTTTGAGTCTGACAGGAGTTGTGTTTGCTAGTGTTGTGCTCCTTGAAGAGTGTTACAGCTGAAAGTTAATGTCACCAGCTCTGGAAATAGGATGCATTTCCATGACTGCTGTGACCATGGAGGCTTTTGTCCATTTATTTTTTGCTCTGCTATTCCACAAAGCAGCTCGGGAAGTTACGGTGTCAATTGTTCCTTTTGTTTTCAGACCATATGATATATGCAATATCCAGTTTTCTTGAAGTCTACAGCATCTGATACTGACTTTCCAAGGAGAAAACCAGGATGTCTAGCCTGGGAGAAGAACAATTGAATTTTTTGCAGGTTGAGGGAATCTTCATAGTAAGGAGAGACCACGGCAGCTTCCCTGTTCAGGAGAACTGGCACAAAAAACTCTTCACCTTTTTCTGAAGTAAGACATCTGAAACAAGGTTGTGACAATCTGTGTGAAGCTGAATTATCTGGGCAGATTGGTTCTGTAGCTGGGAGCTTTTTTGGTAGAGATGCTTCAGTGCATCTTCAGAAAGAGATGATGAGAGAAGTGGTACAATGCTGGTGGCTTATGAAGCAACTCAAAAGACTTCAAGAAACAGACTTAGAGGTTTTCTTCATGTTTGGGTAGCTAATAATGAAAATTTGTCAACACGTCAGGCACTGTGAAATGTGAGTAAAGACCAACTAAGCTTAAACTGATAGCTCAGATGTTCAGAAAATCTCTGACTATAGAACAGTTTATCCTGGATTCTCTTTCAAGGGAAGACAGTGAACATACTCAGTTGCTGACAAATGGTGAAGATTGCCTCTGAAAATTAGTGCTCTTTTAACTCCTCATTCTACTGTTTTTATGATGAATCAAATTTGATGACAATCATTATATATATTGGGAAAAAAAGGCAGTAAAATTGCATACAGATTTGATTTGAGGAAATTCTCTTAAAAATTTGTCAAAGCCAGAAAAATAACATCTGGAATGTAATTCATGTGCAGTGAGCACACTGCATTGCTTCAGATGCTGGCACAATAGCAGCTGCAGTACTTGGCTTTCCTGGAGACACAGGATGATCTGGAAAAGAAGAATTCACATCAGTATAAAAGTACAGCTGTTGAGGGTAATGGCAGGCAGTGCTCCTTCCCAGAAGAGCTGACAGGGAGGTTGTGGCAAAGCATCCCTTTGTTACTGTGCTGTTCCTGTTCTGGATGCAGACTACTGCTCTTGAAGTGCTGATTCATTTACAAATAGTTTGTGATAAGCTTTAGTGCAGCCAATATGAAAGTAAGTCCAGAGAAATGTAGTGTGTTCCATAAAGAGCAATTTATTGTGAACCTGGAGTCAGCACAGGAAGAGGTGTTTTTATCACTGGAGAGAAAGAGAAGCTGTGTAGTGCTGGCTCAGCCTGGTGACAGAAAGCTCCTTTGCCAGCTTGCTAATCTTAGAGAATCAGGACAAAAAGATGCAATGCTTTCAGTCACCAGCAAAATAAAATTCGGATTTTCTTTTCAGGCTTGAAAAGTTCTTGTTCCTGTTTATGTGTTAACTTGCTCATTTTTTCCAAGCCCCTTTGGCCACTGGTCACAGATATTTGTGCTTTTGCTTTGGGTGTGGATTGGATGTGAGAACAGTGCAAGACTGTCTTAAAAGCATGGAAGATGATTACAGCTGAACTGTGTGTTCTTGTAGGATAATGGTTGTACCAGTTGAAAGAGACTCTGGCAATGGCTACAGCTGTGCAGCATTTCCATTTTGAGAAATGTTAAGGACAGCCACAATTCCTCGTTAGACTGGAAAAATCTGAAAGGTTGCTTTCCCAATAGCTGGATGAACCCCAGGACCCTCAGGCCTGGGCACAGGCATGGTGCCCTAGAGATGAGCTTGCTGACAGGCCAGCTGCTCGTGCAGCAGCTGAGTGGGAAGGGCTGTCCAGGCATGGCTGGGAGGAGATGCCAAGCCCTGTATAATTCACGGAAGGGCAAATGTTGCAGAGGAAAAGAATTCTCAAAAACACTAGCATGAGATGTGATTAGAAACCCTTGAGCAAACAGAGGCATCTTGGTAAGAAATCTGATTCCATTACTGCCAAAGGCATTTTCTGGCTGCACTGACTGAGGTGAAGTTCAACAAATGATGTAGCAAGAGGCAGTGATTAGCTGGGCAGGCTGTGGCTGTCTCAGAATGTCAAGAGTGAAGCAGAAGCAGGATTTCTGTACAACAAAATCTTGGCAGAATATGGAAAATTGCTGAAAAGAAATACTGTGTTTTCATTGCATAGGTTTCCTGTGAGACATGGGAATCTCAGAGAGTAGTTCTGTTCTGGGACAAGCATGTTGGTAGCACTGGGCTAGTTTCTAAAAGTTTAAAAGTCATATAATTAGGAACCAAGAAATAGCAGGAATAAAAGAGGGATGAAAATTGCAATGAATTAGTTTTTTACGCTGAGAGTATCAGACCAAAAGGAACATCATCTTCAGAGGAGTTCACAGAATTTGTGTCACTTAGAAATGTGCAAAGATCAGTTTGGGGCTGGAAGGCAGAGTTACTGCAGAGATTGGAATGGGTTTGTTCTGCTGGTTCCTTTGAACTGTTTTCTTCAGGGCACTTCTGAAAACAGGAATTTTCAGGGAAGCCTGTGCCTGTGGAGCTCGATTGATGTAAGAATGCAATGAATTCAATGAATGGAGATAAGCATTTTAGTCCTTATCAAATAATTTTATCAGGGCTCTTCATTTAGAAGATGAAGTGGTCTTCATCTTTAGAATGCTTTAGTCTCGGTAGCTTCAGAAGACAAAGATAAATTTGCTTTGCTGTAGCTGTGAGCAGCAGCACAAAAACTCTATTTTCTTGTCTTCTAACAAAGTAAACTTGTTCTCTGGAGCAAACCCTGATTTTCCATCCCTTCCAAAGACTTCTCCAACCATATGTTTCTTGCTGCAGATGGACTAATACAAAAACAAATACAGGATTAATACAGGGTAACCCCAGGAAAGTGTCATGGGGAGTTAAACCACAGAACTTCTCAGGGGAGGATTAACACACTCTCCTCAAACCAAATGCCCAAACAACCCTGCCAGCAACAGGCCCACAGCAAAAGTCACTGGTAAGTCTCTGTTGGAAGCAGAACATGGTCCAGTTTTGTTAAAAAAATGACCTCTCTGACACATGCTGGTTGAGGGGAGTTTTGAGGAACCAGGCCAGGTAATTTCACTACTGCTGCAGAAAGAATCACTGCTACTTAATGAAGACCTAAAGAAAGGGTTTTATTTACACACACAAAAAAGTTTTTAGGCTTCTGATCTAGAAAAGTATCACTTTCTGTGGTAATCCCTTCCTTAGGACTGATAAAATTGTATTTTGTGAGACTAAGAGCTTGTATGTTGTCTGGAATGTTTCAGAGTTGTATTATTTACTGCAATTACAAGGTTGGTAATGGCAAGGACTAGTTTAAAACATACTGTTTTAATAGTTAGGAATACTGGGGTTTGTACAAGATCTAAGGTTTGCTTACCATTAGTGACTTGTTCTCGCAGGAATATTTATGCATGGCTCTAAGGTCCTTGTAAAGAACCTGTATCTCTGGCAGCTGTGTCACCATATCTTTGGCAGTAGTAATGAAATACTGCTTCCCCTTGAAAACGTACTCTTTTTGAAAAGTATCTCTATAAAGGCTGCAGGTTTTCCAGCTCTGCTGCTCCAGCAGAGAGCACTTTTGTTGCTGTTGGCACAGAGCCTGTGGAATCATCTGCAGCTCAGCTCCCCTCTACAGAACCCAATTTCCTTCTAATTTTCTTTCTAATGCTTGGTTAAATGTCTCTTGAAACAGAACATGTCTATTTTGTTTACTTTCTTGATATCACCTCTAGACAAAGGTGTTTTAAACAGCTTTTGCACTGTAAATTTCACACGATTTTTGAAGGTTGTATGGGGCGATTACCATAATCCTTTCTCTTTAAAAAAAAAAAGTCCTTATATTGATGGACCATGATGAAAATTATTCGGCACACAATTCTAGTTAAATGTGTTTGTCTCAACAAAGCAGTGAAAATCAATGTGAAAATAATGAATAGTTAAATTGTCATGCTAAATGTCTATTTCAGACAAACTACTGAGTTTCAAAGTTTCTAACTTAGAAGAGAAAAGCTCAAAAAAGGGGGTTTTGATCTTGTGCTTAAAAAAGGTGTAGTTGGTTTAAATTTAAGAATACTCAAGAAAAACACTTCTTTCTGTAAAATAAGAAAGTGAGGAAGAATTGGCTTTGAAAAGTTGCATTTTTCTTATAATAGCATGGACTTCTAACCTTCTTTCATGGAAGGTTACAAAAATAAGGCTGGAATGTGCCTTCCCAAGGTGACCCAGCCCATTGTCTGCCCCAGGCCAGCCAGGCTCACACAATTTCTGTCAGACCTCTTGACTTTAAAGCAGTGCTGGAAGGGGAAGAGGGTGATGCAGTGACAGGGACTGCTCAGAAGGGCCCCAGCAGCCCTTCTGCCAGTGCTGGCAGCTCGGTGCTTTAGTGAATCAGTAGCAACCAGCAAAAACATGCAGATAAACAAGAGAGTTGAGCTTTCTTCATTTTGGGGAAGCATTTAACCCTCTCTAGCAATTCCGTGCTCTGTAGTTTTGTGTTCACACAGAGGAAGGACTCCTGTGTAAGCACATGTGTGCGTGGCTCAGGATGACATATTCAGGGTTATAAAATGTGATTTACCTCAGGATTTGCCTTGGTTATTTGGTTGTGACATATTTAATCACTTAATGCAATTAAAAGAATTTTAACTAATTCTAGACCACATGACAGAATTATAGCAGGCCAATTTGTCTGGTCACAGAACCTTTTAGAATGCACTGCAGCCAAGTTTCCTTGGAACAGACTTATGCTGAGGATTGTGTTGCTGCTGAACTGGGGTATTTCTGGACAGCATTTAACACTAAGGCCCTGCAGTTCACTCAGAAGTTAAATTTGTCTTTAAAACCAACTTTTTTTCTCAAGCTTATTCAAAAGGAATGAAAACACCATTATACTCTAGAGAAGTAATGGGGATCCTAGAGACGTAATCACCACACTATATGTGTTTAGGGTTTTAATTAAAGGACCTAATTTAATTTTTCACAACATATGGAGCTGAAAGATAATGGTCTTGTTCACTGAAAATACCTAATGTGATTTGCTTATAGGGCAAATGCTTCCAGGGCTGGATATGCCATATGGTTGGAAAGTTCACTTGATGCCTGCTTTGGCTGCAGCAGGATGGTAATGCTGGGGGTGATGCAGCTGACTTCATGGGCTGCTCTGAAATTCAGAGTTTAATAAATAATGTGAAGGGGCTTAAATTAATCAGTTGGTTTATACTGGGAATGTATTGTAGACCCTGATTTTTTTCTTCTAATGCTGCAAAAATCCCTTAGACTTTAATAGCATTCTGCTGAAGTTAACCTGAAAAACTGTCACATTTAATACCAGCACTAATTCCTGTGAAACTCTCCCAGATTTTCTATCAGAACTGTGTTTATATCCCAGATCGTGCATACACACTTGAGCATTAAGAACCAGAAATACTAGCAGCTGGGAAATTTGCTACCCTGGCACTTGGGAAGTAATAATTTCAGGTGATTGGTTCCATCTTAAACATTTGTTTGGTTTTTTAAATTATATTGCATATGGCTTTTGTTTGCTAAAGCAGTAGCTCTTCTGTTTTTATAAGAATAAGTTTTACTGACTATCCAGGTTAATACTACAGGATTTTGGGGAAGCTCTATGTGAGCAGTTCTAATTGTGATACCATGCTAAAGGATGCTCTTTAATGCGTGGCTCCATTTCCCTTAGTAAGTCATTGAGCACAACAGGAGAGTGCCTGTGCCCTGACCTAGTCCCTGCTCCCAGTCCCACAGGAGCAACGCCCAGCAGCAGTCCGAGTGCATTCAATGCACTCCTAGAGTGCATCCTCAATGATTTGAGTTTCATCTGAAAGGAATCCAGCTGGTGCACTCTGGAAACCAAAGTGGAGTCTGCCGGGCTGATAGGGGAGTCACTTCAAAAGCTGCCTCCTGCTCCAAACCCAAATTCTTGGGCAGGCACACCCTGCCCGTGCGAGGGCCCTGCTTGCTCAGCACCCCAGCCCCTCCAGAGCACGCCTCTGTCCCCAAAAACACCCTGCTGGGGAAAACAGCTCTCTTCAATGTTTCTGCTCTTGGTAGCATGCCAATACCGCCCTCTAAAGTCAGCTCTTTCCTCACCATAGATTGTCTCTTTCATATTAACTGATTCACTGTTTTTTACCTTACAAAGGGTGGTGAAGGAGAGCAGCACTGATCGTTGCTTGTGGGTTCCTCGAATGGTAACGTTTCTCCTTAGAGATGCTTATTCATTCCTGCAAGAATCTACACGTGTGGATGAAATTCAGCTATGTTATAATCCCATCACAGGCAATGGAAAGTCTGCTATCTATGAGCTAATTGTACATGTGAATTTATAGTGCCAATAGCAGTGAGCCTGTTCCTTGATGGGGGCTGATGCCTTGTTGTGCACCTTGCAGCAGGGTAAGGAAAGGGTATTGTGCTTTTTTTACTCCTAGAAAGAATGGATACCTTCACCACCTCTATGCTTTCTTCTCAGAAAAATTTAATTTTGCAAGCTTACAAATGCATTTTTTCATTCTAATATAGATGTCTTAAAAGATTAATTTCTCCCTGAAGATATTTGGGCAAGGTGGAAAGAGAGATTGATCATTTCCAGATGTTCTTTGCTGACAGGCGAGAAAAATTCTGCTTCAGGTTAACACTTGTGAATGTACTTTAAAAATATACATTTTGTATACAAACCTGCCAGAGAGAGCACAAGCCAGTGCAGCAGGGACTGAGATGCGTGGATTTGCAGTGCATTAAATAAGGTAGGGCTTGCCTACCTTATTAATGACTGGGCTAAAAGCCTTGGGAATTCCCTGTAATCTCCTATAGAAAAGCAGGGGAGATGCATATGCTTTTCAGACAGAAACACCATGTGCAGTGTGCTTTGAGGCAGACACTTGCTCCACGGTGTTTGCTGTATCAGACATATTAAAATAGATAATTCACTGTTTATTTGATGTTTTAGGAACATGTCATACTGGGATTCCTAAACATTGCACACTATCTGGCAAGACTTGGCTGAGTCAATGACAAGTAGTTTGACTTCAGGCTTCTGGGAAGTACCCCAAACTAGTGAAGAGGGGAGCTGGTGTTCTACATGCCAGCTGGGAGGACAGGCAGGCCCATGGAGCAGCTGGGCCCTGGTGCCCCATTCCCTCTGTGTCCATCTCGCTTCCCGCAGCACACGAGCAGCACTCCAGAATCACCCCTGCAGTAATCTCCAGTGGCTACAACCTGAGGACTTCTTAGCAGTGAAAGATAAACATCAGTCAGTTCTGTAGGAAAACCTGATGCCTGGGAAGTTCAGATTCTTCTTCAGTTTGTCCTGGTCTCTGAGGCAACAGCAACCTGAGCACGAGAAGTAATGGAGCTCATGCCTGTCAGCAACAAGGGAAATGCCTCCTCAGGAAGCAGTCCTTCCTAAGAGCTGTTGTTCTTCCCAAATGATGTGTGGAACCAGGAACAACACTGGAGACCAGGAGGCCTTTATGAGTCACAAGCTGGTTTTCACTGGGTGGGCAGAGCAGGTGGGGGCAGTCAGTGGAACCAGCCCTGCATTTGTGCACGTTGAATCCTGAAGGAATAGGTTTCCATTGGAAAGATTAGTAAAACTGTCTACTTTCAGAGGTTGCTGACTGCTAAGACTGTTTTAGGTAACTGACAGACAAAAGATTCATAAACCCATTTTCTTACCTAGAAAGAACTCTGCTCCTGTGAGGGGCAAAGCTCAGGGCCTTGGGAGCATTACAGGCAAAGCCCCCCCAAAGACCCAGGGAACAGAAGTGTGAGAACTGCAGTGGATGTGAGGTCTAGAGATGGTGAAGGTCCACTTCAGGAAATTAATCATCTATGGAGCTGTGTCATGGCACTTGTCCCAGTGTCCCAAACCTCAGCTATGACAGAGTAAGAGAGGGAAAGACAGGAGGTAAAACTAGGGGGGCATCATTCTCTGGGGTTTTTCAGGTAGAGCAGGTAAATATTGAAGGGTCTTCAGAGTCCCTACATTCTTTAGAAAGGAAAAATATGGTAGTTTAGAGCATAAATTGATTTCTCATGTTTCAGAAGTAGGCAAAGTAGATGGGGAAGATGACACTGAAGTCAAATTTTGGAGTGTTTTCTATGACAGGAAGATGTTGGCAAGAGGAAGGGGCACGACTGAGGAAGAAAAAGGAACATTCCAGTTTTCTATCAGTAAAGACTGACAAAGTGCTGTGTAAAAGAGAGCTTTGAATCCTGAGACAAGGTGTTGATGATATTGAGGTGTTAAAGCTCTGAGACTTGATACAGCAGTTAACAAAAGATCCACTTCACTGCCTCAGTGGTGTTGCTGAACTGATCTGTCAGATTGTTCATAGAGCTGTGCAGGAGGTAGTTTCTGGTGTTTGCTTAGGGTTTTGGTTTTTTTTCCCCAAAATACATGTATGAAGATCTGAAGAAGCACGTTCAGGGTATGTTTCCTCAGGCTTTTCCTTTCTCAGCCTGCTTTGCTGCACCAATAGCTGCCCAGGTGGGGTCCTGCCCATCACATGCATGTGCAAGGTGCCAGCTCAGAAAGGTCAACTGCTAATGGGGTCTCCGTGCATAATTTAGCCTGTGACACCTGATGAACTGGATGCATGATTAGAATGTGCTATTTGGGGATACATCTTCCAAAGGGATGCTAAAATTTGCAGCATTACAATTTGACTAGATTTTCTTTTGTTGCTGGTCGTGAAGACAGAAGCCACTACACAGTTAAAATCTGTTTTGTTGTGTTTGGTTGGGTTTTATTTTGGGAAGAAGTGGGATAATTTTAGTTCTTCAGCACTAAAAATTAGATCAAAATCCTGGCAACTGTACAACATAAATGAGCAACCTTACAATAAAAGGGTTTTTGTCACCTTGGAAACACAGTTTGAATAAGCTACTTGGAGTAATTTTAGTTTCAGACTTTCCTCTGCCCTCGTCCCTCCCATGCAAATTCTGGTTTTACACTCAGTATATCCGGTTTAAATGTGTTTCTTTCATAAATAGACAACAGAGGAATTTGCCAGACAAAGTGGAAGAACACTGAAAATGACCTTGCATGTGGTGTTTCAGAGCAGAAACTGGTGTTTGGAAACATATGAAGTTAAACTCATCCAAAAATAGATTTTAAAATCTGTCACTTTAGATCTCAGAGCTCCATGTAAACTTAACTTTATTGCTTTTTATATACAGTGAGTCTTGTTATTCTGGAGAAGAATATGGCATTTAGGAAGCAAATTTTAGCACTAAGAAGCAAAGTTGAGGGGTTAAATAAGGAGAAATAAACATTGAAAAGTTGATGTAATCTATTAGATATACATGGTCTTTCAAAATCCCTAATATTGTGGTATACATGTGAAATTAGTTGTATTAAAATGCTGTGGGTCTCTGTTGTGAATGTTACACAGATTATGCTATGGCATAGCTGGAAACTCAAGTAATTAGAGAAGAGATTAGGATAAAGTAGTGCTTCTATCCACTAAAGAATGTAAATATTTTGAATATTTTCAATAGCTCACAGTTCTCTAACAGGTCTCACCTGAAGAGTGTCCTTACTGTGAGTGCCCACTAGAGAAAGGGCAGAAGCCTTTGTAGCCTTTTCCGAATATTTGATCAGCTGAGACACATTGACTTTCCATTCCCATGGAGACAATATTTCAAAGTGAAAAGTAAATTGATTTTCAATTACTTAAAAGAGTGAACTGCATTTGAATATATATATTATTGTCCAGGTAATATTCCTGGAAGCTTAAAGGAGCCCATGCAGGACTGGGTAGTGGTCCCTGTGCCAGTGCCTGGCATCCGCTCTGCCCCCAGCAGTGTGGTTTGCTAGGCTGGGCAGGGAAAGGTGCCACCCAGCACCATGTGCCATGGTCTGAGCAGCCACAAAGGACCAGCAGGAAATTACACCAGAAGATCATGAGACATGATGAGACAGAACAGCTGACTAACATTTGGGTTAAATACTTGGAAAAGCTTCCTAACTACATGCCCACAGGAGGAGGTGAGGTCGTTGGGGTGATAATAGGACCATAT